GTTGCTTTAATTGTCAACACAAGTTTTTTTGGTTTTCTAGGATCGGATAAGATTAACCCTGAAAATATGACCGAAAAAATAAAAATAATAAAATTACGATTAAAAATTATCGAAAAAATAAAAATAAAACTAAAAACATTATTTTTGATCGAAAAAATAAGAATCATAAAATAACGTTTAAAAATTATCGAAAAGCTACATAATAAAGAATAACGATTATTTTTGATCGAATAAATACAAATCATAAAATAGCGATTAAAAATTATTGAAAAAATAAAAATCAAACAATAACGATTACTTCTGATCGAAAAATTAAAAATCGTAAAATAACGATTAAAAATTATCGTTATTACATAAATTGAAAAATAACGATTATAAAATGATTTTTTAATAAAAATCCTTCATGATAACGACTATTTTCGGTCCCTGTACAAAACAGAAGCAAATGTTGTGCAGCAATTATTAGATGAATTTGTAAATTGGTTTGGAAATATTTATAGGGATCATTTAGCAAGTTTTAATCTGCATGACTTACTTCATATACCGGATTGTGCTAAAGAATTTGGACGTTTCTTATTAATCCGAAAAAAGAAAAATATTCATTTTGCTTTAGTCAAGATACGGGACCTTTCAAAGTTATAGAAATTAGTAGTTATTTTAATGATCCTCTCGAATCATTTTCTACACGTGGTATTTTACTTGCGACCAGTTTAAGCAAAGAAGCATTGAAGATTCCAAAAAAACAAATATTCAAACACTCTTGCTTATCATTGGTCGGTTTCACACTGTTACGAGAACAACTCTGTTTGTAGGCAAGAGAGGCAGGCAGTGTGGTGAGGTAGGTTAGGTTAGGTTACACTTGCCGGCTGATGCGCCTTACATAGACCCGTTGGTCCTTTGTAGTGCCAGATGGAGGTCCGTTTTACTGCGATCTAAAGTAGTCGTCGTATAGGACGTCAACGCTTTTTGCGAAGTTCAAGAGTGCCTTAATATCCAGTTTTGAAACCTCCTCTAGTCCTTTGAACTGCGATGCTCCGAGATATCTAAGACGATTTCTAGCTAAGGCCGGACAGAAACAGAGGAGGTGTTCTAACTCATGCCTTCCTCCCTGCACTTCCTGCATGCGTCACTGTTACTAATGCCCATTCTGCTTGCGTGGGATGCCAGTAGGTTGTGGCCCGTCATTAGGCCGACAACTGTCCTGCAATCCCTACGTGACCGTGTAAGCAAGAAATGGGTGTTTCCTTTGCTGCTATTGCACATGATCTTGGTGGTTTTGCATGTCGCTAATGCGTTCCATCCCCCCCTGACCCGGAACCCAGCTCTTTCGGAAATTTCATTATAGATCGTTTTTAGCGACTTTTGTATTTCCCGTACTGGTTCGCTAGCAAGACGGATGGCACTTTTGGCAATCTCATCAGCTATTTCGTTGCCTAAAATGCCCTTGTGGCCTAGAACCCAGTATATATGCAGCCGTTTACTCTCGGCCGCCCTGTCTACAGCTTCCATGCTTCTAAGGACATTTTCTGACGCAATACGATGTGAGATATGGCCTTAATCGCCGCCTGGCTATCGACATATATAATGATATTTTTTATATAGTTTCCTGCGTTGCTAGCTATCTCAGCAGCTTTCCCTATACGTTCCGCTGGCGGGTCGCGTGCTCATGCGCCATCCGCCTCCTTAACCGTAGCTTTAAACCTTCTTTCCCAGATGAAGCGTGGGGGTATGTGGTCTATTTTGTCCTCCATCACCCTGCATATCGAGCTGTGCCCGAAGGTTCTTGCGGAGAATTCACCTAAGGCCTTCAATCTCGAGGCGGATTTCGCTGCAGTGCTCTCCACCGCGATGTCGATTGGTGGTAGGTCAAGTAGTAGTGTGGTGAGGTAAAGTTTCTCAAAAAGTTGATCCAGCTTCTACCCAACATTAAAGTGGCATTTCTGCTGCAGCGCACAAATACATGCGCAACTACGAAAATGCCCTGTAGGACCTCGGAATAGACTTAGAGCACACCACAAACTATACTGCAAGTGATTGTAACTAGTCCAAAGTTTGGTCCAAGAACATGTAAAATTCTATTTACATTTAACATTGAATGTCCTAGGCTCGGACCGATTGTCCTGCATTACATTGTAACCAATTTTGGGGAAAAAAAAACAAAAATAAAACTTGCGCCAGCTGCGATTCGAACAGGGGTTCTCGGATTTTCTAAGCGGATACTCTCTCCACATGCCAACGCCGCTCTTGAAAATTCGTTGACTAAGTGCCTACATATTAGTAGATCGTTAATCATAACCATTGTCCTCTACTGCGGGACATTGGAACCAATTTTAGAACAAAACTCGTACCTTATGCATTACATTCGGACCACTTTTAGTACAATTCAACTGTTTTACATTACGTTGCTTTAAATTTTTGGACTATCTTTGGTCTAGTTACAAAACTACTATACCTACGACTATATTTTTCGAGCAATTGGACCAATCTTTCCTTCAGGGTGCCGCTACGCAACTTCCAAACGCCAAAGTAACAAATACATTCAAACGTCCTATACGTATACCAGTGATTGGCAGCGCAGGCAGAACTTGAGGCATGTGCGAAACTTTTGCACTTGCTTATGTAGTTCTGCCAACGCTGCCCATGCCTGACGTATACACATTTTGTTCTGCTGTTGTTCTGCTAGTTTTCATCCAGTGTGAAACCGTGAGAATAAGTGCTCTGTCATTCTAGTGTAAAACAGTCCATTTGAAAGTAGTTTTATCTTAATACCAATTCTACACCACCTCTTTCACGAGTTTGCAAACTAATTGTATTCGTTTATTTTAAATCAAACTAATAACGCTTTTTACTTTAAATGCAACTAATTAAAAGCTTGTTTACATTATCGTAATTTACGGCTCATTTGTAATTTTTAAGCAAATAATTCTGAAATGAGGTAATTTCGCCTTGTAAAATCTGTCGAAAAATTAAGGCCCCTATTGCGAGTGTCGACTGGCAGTAGAATAGAAATTTGTCGAGTCAATTATCTTTTATTTTTGTGTTGTGAACCCTGATCGACAAAAAATTTGCTCTATTGCGAATGGTTAACTGAATTGACAGCGGTTCGGGTGTTTGCTTACATTTGTAAGCAGTTTGTTTTACTTTTAATTGCTTTGAGCAACTATTTTAAAATTAATATTTTTGTATAAATAAATTAATAAATGGATACTGTTGAGCTGTGGTTTAGTGACGAGAGTGAAGATGAAAGTGCCAGTTTAACGGAGTTGGCAAAATTGAGAAGGCGGTTGAGAGATTCGTCTAACCCTCTGGAGTTGGAGGACCAAATGTATTCATTTTCATGCATTGCTTTGCAATTTACTAAACATATCTTTATAGGTTTCGATTTAGGTGCTTGTTAGGTGCTCGCGCACTACCCTATGAGCCAAGGAAGGCCACGCAAATAATAAATGTCTGCGCAGCTCTTCATAACATATGCATTGCTTACAATACTGATTTTTCGGATGAAGAAAGCAATATTAATCGAGACACAGAAAACCAGTATGCAGCTCAAGATAGCATAGCTGCTGAAACTGGACATATAAATGAAGAAGCCGTCGAAATAAGAAACACCATTTTACGGCAAATGCAACTTCAGTCTTGAATTTTATTTTATTTTTTTTTTCATTTTTTATCACTTCATTTCATATATTTATTGCTCGATTCAGTCATTTAATTAAAACTAGAAGTTAAATGTTGAAAAAAAAACTTATTTTCATAAAAAAAAACTTAAGTTGGTTTGTTGGTTAAATCACATAAAATCATGATCACATTAATTCAGGTCCAAGCTTAAATATATCGTTAAACTAAACTTAAATATATCGTCAAACTATTGCATTAGGTTTTCCTCAGTTTATCTACCATATTTCTGGCTTTATTTACAACTTCTTCTATAAGAAGTGCCATCTTTTATTTTTAACCGACTTCCAAAAAAGGAGGAGGTTATCAGTTCGTCGGAATCTTCCGCATAACTTTGGACCGCGTCAACCGATTTCGATAATTTGCATCGGAAAGGTAGTGTCTCAGAGGTGGTCCCATACTAATCTGGTTGAGATCCGATCAGTGGATCATGAGATATATATATATATATTTTTTTTTTATATGGGAGTTGAAGTCGGTTTTTTTTTGCTAAAAATTACTTGTTTTAATTTAAGTTTTTCTTTTACTAATTTAAGTTTTTCTTTTTCTAAAATCAGTCTTTCGTTTTGAAGTCTGTAAGACTTCCTTGTGTTGCTTTCAATTTGTCTAAGATTATCTATTATTTCTTTAGCATTTGCTTCCATGGCCTCAAAATGTTCCGATTGACGTTGTACTTGTTTTTCAAGTAACGCCAATCTTTTTTGCTTTGAATCGCAATTTTTTTTCTTTGCTTGGAAATACGCTGTGGTTCTATTTCGCATTCTTGGGTTCCTCGCGTATCCGAGTCTTCCAAGGCTTCCCCTATAATTTCGAAAAAAAAATTTCCTGCTCATTGATTTCCACCGAGTGAGCTCTTGAAGCGCTGCTTCCGATTTCTTCACCTGGAGGATTGACAAAAATGTCGTACTTTAAAAAGTTGACTACAGCTTCCTCTAGTGGCGTAAGGGTATGCAGGTTGTTTTGGCTTCCTCCAGTTGCACGAAACTCCGATCTATTTTCTGATACTTTCTTCTTGATTTTTCTCTTTAAACCTGTCCAAACCTACATAAAAATATGCCGCATTAATTTATTCAACACAACTTTTATAGAAATTTGTTACCTTTAACCACTTTTCCCAAGAACGCATTGGTGGTCCCAAGCTGTTAAGCTTCCCATCTTGGTTTCGCCCTACTCTTTCCGCAAATTCCTTTACCAATGTCCTCATTCTCCTGCATCAGCTCGACCAACCGCGCAAGTTGCCTTTTGTTGCTTACAATTTTTGATCTGTAATTCAGACAAATACATACGTATGTATATTCCACAATTTTATTCAACTTCCTGTTCAATTGACTTACTTTTTATCCATTATAGTACCCCTTTTTTGTAAAAATTTTGTAGACGAAAACTACAGCGACTCAGAAATAGCAATAGAATGATGAGAGATTGAAAACCGTTCACAGTCGCTAACTGAGCGACTAATCGACACTCATAATAGCATCGATAACACTATGTAACAAGGTTTTTGTCCCTGGGTTGTAATTGTTATTTCCTAGTCAGTTAGGTCCCAAAAGTATAGAAAACAGCTATTGTCGCAAGATAACTTTGCTTTTGTGACCATCTTCTTCAGCGTTCAAGTACCTACAAGACTTGTTCCCTAAGCTCTCTGAGGCGAAAGTTACAGCCGGTATCTTCGTTGGACCACAAATAAAGAAAATCTTCGAGTCTGAGGAATTCCCCAAGAAGCTCACTCGTGTTGAGAAAGCTGCTTGGATGAGTTTTATGTCAGTGGTACAGGGATTCCTAGGCAATCACAAAGCCGCAAACTACGTGGAGCTGGTCGAAAGTCTGGTGGAGAACTACGGCAAAATGGGCTGCAGGATGTCTCTCAAACTCCATATTCTGGATGCACATCTTGACAAATTCAAGGAGAACATGGGAGCATATTCAGAGGAGCAAGGCGAGCGCTTCCATCAGGATATAATGGAATTTGAGCGGCGATACCAAGGACAATACAATGAGAACATGATGGGAGATTACATTTGGGGATTGATTAGAGAAAGTGACTCGCAGTTTAAACGCAAATGTCGAAAAACCACCCGCTTCTGATTTACTTTTATGTTTTTGGTTTTCTGAAGTTTTAATAAAATTTAGTTTTGATTTATATGTGCTGTTCTGTATGATTTTGAGCAAAGTTTCCGAGGAATATTAGGTGGTTTCCATACTTTTAAGGCATAACAGACTAGGAAATAACAATTACATCCCAAGGACTGAGAAATTTTTTTTTTTTGTTACTTAGTGTAATCGATAATCGTTTAATAGTCGTTTATCTACTGTCAGTCGACATTCGCAATAGGGGTGTAAATAGAAATGAAATAATTTATCATAAATCAAGAACCAAATGGAAAAAAACAAGTTTTTTCATTTATTTTAGCCCCCACTGTTAGGGAAATTTGAAAAAATGCCTAAAGCTATGCAACCATTTGTTTTTTGAAATCAACACTCGTACGTACACGTGCCATAGAAATTATGAAAGAAAATATGAACTTACTTGTTTTATGTGAAGTAATGTGAATATAGTTTTAATTTTAGTTCATATATATTTATATACGCAATCACAAATTCTTCGAGAACATCAGGATGGAAAAAGATAACACTTTCTGTGCCTCACCCCAGGCTACATCCACTCCTAAGGACGGAAAAAGAAAAAGAAAAGCAGCTAGATGGATTTCAACGCCTGTTCAAATCAAGGTAAATTTTTCAAATAAAGAATTGTGGGAAAAATTCCCTCTAAACTAAATTCGAGTTCGGATAACTTTTGTACTAATTGATTTTTTTTGTAGTTCTACTCTGAGGGAAATCATGCATAGTAAAAATGAATACTTTATATTTGACTAACCGGCCTCGTATGCGTGAGGCTTCGCCACGCGCTGAATGTAGATATTAATTAAGATGCATTTGAAAACTAAACAGCTTGGAACCCTACTAAAAAATAATATATAATTGCGCATCTGGAGGCCAAGCCCTTTGACATTTCTTGTAATCTAACGAACAGCCCACATTTTTTAATTTTTTGCACAGATTGCAACCCTCTTCGAAAAATAAAACCTTACTGCAAATCCGAAGGTCAAGCCCTTTCGTTTGACACCTCATTTTTTTTTTAATTGAATGAACACTGTGCAAATCTAATGTCATTAACAAAAAATGACCTCGCGTATTATACATACATCATTTTTAAATAGGTGGCAACCTCACTCAAACAAAAAATAAAAACTTTTTGCACATGCAGAGACCATATCCTTTCACTTGCTACCTCAGTTTTTAGTCCAACAAACGGTGAAGCTCTTATAATTTTTAAAAAGTGGCAACCCTACTCAAAAAGTAGTACATTATTGAACATCTAAAAGCCGAGCCCTTTTATTTTACACCGCATTTCTTGTAATCCAACGAACAGTGCAGATTTAATAATTTTTTGGACAGGTGGCAACCCTATAAGAATTTAAAGTACTAAAGATAATATTCCTTTCGATGCAGATTATACTTAAAAAATCTCGTATAACTCCGTTCAGTAGTTTTTGAGATTAGCGTGCTCAAAATATCTCGACTTTCCTTTATACTATGTATAGAAGATAGTAATTTTTAAATAGGAGGCAATCCTGTTCAAAAAATGAAAGCTTTTGTACATGTGAAGGCCAGGCCCTTTCATTTGGCATCTAATTTTTAATCCAACGAACGGCGAAAATCTTTTAACTTTTTAATAGGTAACAACCCTACTCAGAAAAATAATACATTATTGCGCATGCAGAGACTAAGTCTTTTCGTTTGACAGTGACGGAGCAGAACTGATGCCTAGGCTTATTATGATTGAATATAGACATTTTATTAACAGGTGGCAACCCTATTAAAAAAAACATTAGTGCTTTTCTAGAGGCCAATCCCTTTCATTTGACACCTCATCTTTTGGAATCCAACGAACGGTGCGGATCTTGTAGTATTTAGACAGGTGGCAACCCTATTAAAATTATAAGTAAAAAAGGTCACTCTCCTGTCGATACAGGATATATTAGGGAAAATATCGTCAAAATCCGTTCAGTAGTTTTTGAGATTACCGCGTACAAAGAATCTCGACTTTCCTTTATACTATGTATAGATTATCGTTTAAAAATGTTCGTATTTAAAAATATTTTCATTCAAAAATTTATTACGCATGTATTTGACTGTTCACATCTGAGTATATATATGTAAGTGTACATACGCATCCCAAGCATGCACAGCGGCGACAACACACACACATACATACAGTGGTCCACAAAATAATAGGAGTGCGTTATTTTGGTCAGTTTTTGCTATTTGTCTTTTGTTTATTTAATGTTTATTATTTTTATACAAAAGTCAAGCTGGGTATACAACAAACAACGAATAAATTCAGATTTCAACCTTTGTACAAAAATTATTAAAATTCTGTAAATTTTCACCAAAATATCAAACTTTTTAATCAGAATCTTCAGAGAAAATTCTGGTATGCAGTTTTATAGCCCATTCAATTCTAGTCTGAAGAAGTGCAAGTTTCAAGCTGCTAAAAAATTCCGTTGATTTTTGAGAATTTTTTCGGTTGAAGGTGTTTCACGTTTTTTCCATACAAAGTATGTTCGACAATTTTCTTTTATATGGGGACAGTGCCAGCAAAAAAAATTGCCAAAAATCAACGGAATTTTTTAGCAGCTTGAAACTTGCACTTCTTCAGACTAGAATTGAATGGGCTACAAAACTGCATACCAACATATTTTCTAAAGATTCTGGTTAAATAGTTTGAAATTTTGGTGAAAATTTGCAGAATTTTTATAATTTTTGTACAAACTTGAAAATGTAAATTTATATGGTGTTTGTTGTATTACCAGCTAGGCTTTTACAAAAAAATACGAAACATTAAATAAACTAAAGACAAATAGCCAAAACAGGTTAAAATATCCCACTCCTATTATTTTGTGGACAACTGTACATAGTACATGTCCCAGTAGGAACCCTATCTTTTAACTAATGCGTTATATACGCCTAGTACTACAAACTAGGGATGTTGCGAATGTGGAATTTTAGACATCCGGTGAGTAAATTAGGTGATTTAGGTAAATAAAAAATGGAAAAGTTAGTAATTTTTAGTAATGTTTTTCTTTTATTTAGGACTTGAATTTAAAAATTGGAACATTGTATTTAATCAAAAGTAATGTTGCTGCCTTTTAGGGCTACATCCTGTTTCTTGAAAGGTCGTTAATCAGACCTGTGCCACTAAATAACTACTCACTCGAGGCGACAAAACTGAAACTTGAAAAATTTGTAAATTATTTTCGATTGACGCTGCACCAGTTGACTTTCAGTAATATTTATTTTTTTTTATTGCAGTGCAATAACTCCTTTTTGAGAATTGCATTGGGCGGCAAATGTCGGATGTATCCTCCTGACTTTCATCTTCACAATCTAGCATCATGGTTTAAACACTATTGTTTTCCAAAGAATTTTTCAATCTCATTCTTTTGGTTGTTTCACAATTTGGAGAACATGTAACGTCATTAGCCTTTTTCCATTTTAGTTTTTGTAATTCATTTTTAATCCTTTTTTCTGTGCCTGCTTGGAAAAATGCGTGCTTATACCGAGTTTATAAATAGGTGGATATGGCAAATAAATTGTTATTTTCTAGGTATGAAAATTTCGAAGAAAATTCTGTTCTGAAAGTCGTGGCTGCCAGCCGAATTAGTTTAAAGTCTTGTTGTTTTGTTAAAAGGCACCCCGTTTTTTTATAATAGTTTCAATTATTGGAATCACGGACGATAAAGGTCTCAGATCTGCTTAGTTCCCGGATGACTTCATGAAAAGGTTCACCTGTAATCAATAGCTTGTAATTAGTTTTTTTATTCGTTGAGCTCGACTTTTCCTAGCCGCAGGCAGCCACAATTAATTGATACCATAATCTATCAAACCCGTTTTGTCGTTCCATTCCATGCATTCAATGTGCTTTGATATTTTGACGCAAATTTTCAAAATATCGTTAATATAGTATGGAAAGGGCGTAATTCACATTGTCGCTGAAATGCAAAAAAGCCACAACAAAAAATTATTAGGGGTATTCTCCAAATCTTGCAAAGGCATTGCACGTAGCACGGATTGCACGGATTGCATAACTTGCAAATAAACAACAACAAAATATATGGGAAACACCATTTCCTGTCGCTGCAAAATATGCAACGTCGAAACCCATGTATATGTTTTGCAACAAAGCATAGCAAAATAAATGCGACCCTGTGCTAGTTGTTTTGTTGTTGGAATTGCTACATATTTCTCTCATTCCTCTCATCTCGCTCACTTCATTTTTTTTGCTGTATCTTGTTATTGTATTTGATACAGAATTTCGCTGCTTGCTACCTATGCATGCTACCACTTTGCAATGAACTGCTCTCGTACTCTTCCGAATTTGGAATAGTATTTTTGCATTTCGTGCAAACCTTGCATCGTGCAAGACGTCGAGAATACTCCTATTGTTGCATAAAACGATGTGGAAACTTATGTTTCGATGAAATGCATCATAATCAATCAACAAGTGAATTTTGGATTTTTAGTTAGTTACGGCTTTTTTTGTTTCAGCGACGATATGGGTTACGCTCATACTATACTCACGACATATTGCATGCCAAGTCCCACTCTCAATAGATATTAAATTCGCCTTGAATTGATTCTTATTTGATTTCTGAACTTGGCTGTCAACTTTTTCACATTCCATTTTATTTTTATTTCGCTGCGTGCAAATTTCGACAATTATCACAAAATTAAAATTAATGTTGTTGTTTTCAAGCGCACAGAGGAGTATTTGCATAGTAAAACCGGTCAAAATTATTTATCTGACCTTTGACCCCATATAGGACCTGTAATATAAGTTTGCACAAAAAAAGTTTCATACCGTTTAAATAAGAGCAAAAGGCGGAGGACAGACCCCGTCTATATTTTTACTTTTTTAGTTGTTTACATTCAATAATTAAAAATAATTTTTTTACCAAAGGTCCAATATCGAAATACGAAGCCCCTATCTCGATTTCGGAGGCTAACTTTGAAAAAAATCTCTTCAAAATAAATGGTTTGGTCCAATAACCAGAAAAAAAGTTGATTTTGTCGTATAAA